GCGAGAGAAAATACATGACCTGGATTTAGCAATGTTCTTGCCTAAAAAGTAAAAAGGGAGTAAACTTTTCAAATTAAACTTAAGTTTCATTTTAACTCTTCTCCAAGTTGTTGTTCTCAGCGATTGAGTTATATTATTAAATTCAGAGCTGAAAGGAATTTGGAATTCAAGTAACAACTTATAATTCATCTCAATGATAAATCCAAGGGGTATTGGACTAGAGAAATAGTTTTCTTGCTTTGATTTCGGTCAGGGTTTTGAGATCCGAGCATGAACAACGTTCAATAGCATTCCGATCATTTTGAATCGACCACCAAATAAAACCAGCAGGCACAATGTGTGAACAGAATACCTAAGACTGAGCCTAATCAAGAGCTCTCTAGAGGTATTGGACTGAGAAATAGTTTTTTTTTCTTTGATTTCGGTCACGGTTTTGAGATCTGAGCGTGAACAATGTTCATTATAACATAGCTAGTAAATTTGTTTAATCAAATTCAATTGCGCAAGCGTGTTTTATATCCTATTGTGCACGCTCATGACGTCAGCAAACATATCCCTCGAGAAAAAAATTTTCCATCGGGTTGAAAATGTTAAAATGAAAAACAAAAAAAATTTAAAATATAAAACAATTGGTTCATACGTCAGCTGTGCGTTCATCGAGATATGAAGCACTTGGGAAGTTTAGAGAGAACAAATTGTTAAATTGTATTCCAATAATTTTGAACCGGCCAACAAATAAAACCAGCAGGCACGATGTGTAGACAGAAGACTGAGCCTCATCAAGAGCTCCCGACCTGGTTGCAGCTCTGATGATTTCATGTCTTCATTTTTTTCGGCTTTCTCATCCATGCTTCCTCTATGAACTTCTATCCCTAAGCTTGTCAGAAATGTCTCGTCATAGAACTTAGGTATCACATCAAGTGTAAATCAATATTTTAATTGAAAGTTACTTTACTCCTGTTCACGATAACGAAAAAATGAGACAGAAACTTTCGACGACTTCAAGCTAACTTGGCGGTTAAAATTGCGACAAAATTAGAGTGAAATTTGAATAACAGTGAATAAAGAGTAATCCCTAGTGACCTTTCAAAAGAAAGAAAAGCTACGACACATTTCTTAAAACCTCTACTTTCAAAATTATTCTCAGGTAACTAGCACTGGTAGAATATGTTTGTTAAAATATTAAGGCCAGCACTTTTTTGGCGGGCAAATGATGATGCGTTGAGAAGTCCATAATATGAAACCAAAGCATTCTTGTTCCTCAAAATTAGGATATGATTTTAAAACCTCCGGACTAAAGAGGCAATCTAATAACTATTCTCCTATTCCATTGTCAAGACGCACTCCTCTAGTATTGCTTAAGGGTCGCTCCAACCTTCTTTCTCTTAATTTTTTTTTATGACCATCCACCGAATTCATTAAAGAAAGTTCCTCCTTAATTTACGACAGAAACTTTCAGTCAAACGCCCAAACCTTAACATTCATCTTCTGTTAATCATTCTGGTACTACACGCTACCACAGCTGCGCGATGCCTTACAGAGCGAGATCCAAATAAGAGAACTTTAAACAAGCGAAATAAATTCTGTAATCAAAATTACCTCAGGATTATTTTATTATTGACAAATATTAAATTGCAGTCCTTTGCTAATTCCGGATTTGAGCACTCTCACCAGAGCAGAGAAGACTAAGAGCACATCATTTAAAATATTATTCGTAAAAACGATAAAGAAAGAAATAAAGAAAGAAATAATAATAACCAACCTTGCTAGAAGTTGTCTATTTTCTTTCCTCATTCTCTTGAAATTCTTGATTTAGAGATGTTACGACCACTTTCTGTTCTAGATGCTGGAATGGAATTTATATTATGCCAATGAGCAAACTTACTTTATTCTTTATTTTGAATTATTAATGAAGATTATCGCATAATTCTATAAGAACTGCCAAATTTTAAACTAACAGTGTTGATGCCCTCAATTGAAGGATGACAACAATATATATTTTCTTCAACGCCGTTGTAAATGTTCATGGGAATCACCGAGGTCACTTTATCCATTTGGACTTCATTAATGCGACACAACTCTAAACTCCCTTAATCAGAAGGTGATCGAAAAACTTAGATATCAAAGGAGATACATGCTTGTATGTAGATAGGTCCAAATATTAATATCAGAATATTTAATATTTTCGTAGAACGAAAAAGGAAAAATTTTTTTGCTGAAATCGTCATGGAGAATCTCACAAGAAAGGATTTCATTTGAATATTCATCTACCTGATATTTCTAAGAAACGAATAAAAGGATACTCTATAGAAATTTATGAGCAGTTAAACCTTATGTTACTAACTCAGCAAGAGCTTTACTGCAAAAGGAAGCCATAAGGGTGTTGTCATTCTGACGGGGACAAAATCGCAAGCGAATTTTTCGCTGTAATGTAAGTTGTAACAAAATTAGACGAGTCTGGTAAACCCTATGCACTAATTTTATTTCCCATGGCAGCAGAAAATCATAGTATTGCAAGTTGAATAATTTCCCGTAAATTGAAAAAATAAATAAATAAAAAATAACCAAGCCTTCTTTTAAAGATATCTATAGACCAACTTCGTTTCAATACTTGTATGCTATGCGATACGGTAGTCACAATATTTTCAATAATGTTCGCCGAGGCATTTGCCTGACACAAGAGATTTTAATCTATTTCTCGACATTATTACCATTGCCTCAACCTGCTCTAAACTGCCTAAAATCTTCTCAGCCACCTTGAACCATGCACATCAGATAAAGTGTGATTTGCTCTCTTGCTACTTACATTTAATGTGCTGCAAGATTTTCCGAACGAGCTGTTCCACTCTGTCACTTCAAATCCCAAGCTGGCCATGGCTTTTGAGTTTCTGATTGTAATGCTTCACTCCTAGAGTCTTCTCGCCCCAGAAAGGATCCACCGACTGAATCTCCGTCTGTGACATGTTATTCCAAGAGTTATTCACCGAAGAAACCTCTATTTTGAGGCATATTTTGGATCAAGAAGCAAAACACCAAAATGCCTCGTGCAAATTTGACGAAGACATTGAATATGAAATTAGATGAGTTACATTTGCAATGCAAATTCAAATTCAACTTGCAAAAAATGAGAGGTGAGAGATGACTTCAGCCGACAGGCGATCCAAGAGTTACAAAAAATAAAAACATACAAACAAAAAACAAACAAAAATAGGATCACCACTTTACAATCATTGTTAGAATTTGACTGGCCCTGCGCTCGTCAAAATACAGCACAACTCGTAAATATACCTAGCGGTACCACATAAAATACGATTTATGAGTTAATGAGTGAGCGAGTGTTAATGAATGAATAATTGATGAATGAATAAATGGGAGAATGTATGTATGGATAAATGAATGAATAAATAAATTAGTTGGATAGAGAGTGAGTGTCTAAGTATGCAAGAGGAAGAGTAAGAGTTAATGAAAGAATAGTTGAACCGACCGACCGACCGACCGACCGACCGACCGACCGACCGACCGACCGACCGACCGACCGACTGAATGACCGACTGATTGTCCGACTAACCGACCGACTGACCCATTAGCTGACTGACTTACTGAGGAAAGAATGAATAAGACAACCTTTCAATCAATCAAACCATCTTAAACAAGACTAAAGCAAATAAACAAAAAGGAAAGAAACAAACACCGCAATAAACGGAATGTAAAAAAAACTCATAGCAACGTACGGATGCAATCAAGATATTGCAACAATACGGTAGCTTATCTTTCCATGTTTTATTTCACACTTATAAGGTTATCTTTTTTTTTTGCAAACAAATAACACACTTGACATTCATTAATTCAACATGAATGATAACTTAATACCATTTTTATCGTCATTTCCTGTTGCTTTAAATTGTTGAGTGTTAGAAACCGATTATGATTTTTTTTATCAAATGTAATATGATTTGAATCTCTAGCATAATTATCTCCTTAAGATCAACAAATCAATACATTACGAGGACTTAACCCACCAAGTACAGACTTCGTATCACGTCTGAGGCTTTTAAGCCTGCTAATTATCTTATATCAACCCTTTAACCCTTAGGAGTGACCAGCATCCAATTTCTCCCTAAAGATCACCCCTGAATAGAACATTAAGGTCATGAGAATAAGGGAAATGATCAACACCTAAAGAAGCTCTTGATTGTTAATCAAATTCTCCTTTTCAGAACCTTAAGAAATGTGTAGAATAAGTATGGAGAATATGCACACTGATGTTAGGGTGTAAGGGGTTAGGAGAAATCGAGACTGACCTGAAGCTTTCATTGTCGGGTCTACAATAGTGGAATTCAGCATAAGTTTATTGAGAATCCCAATTAGTCAATCCTCGTTGCTAAATTCACCCTTTTACTCAGAGTAACTTAGGGTAAAACATCCGGAAGATCTCGTTTGTTTGTTTATTTCTTCTATCTAAAACTGTATTAAAAAGCAGTCTTATTTAGTGAAGTTTTTAAGAGCATCTAGGTTCATTTAGGTTAAGCTTTTTTAAATTCGTATTTAACGCAGTATTCATTACCCTTAAAGAGGTAAAGAATTAAAACTTCGGCAAAATTCAATAAAAGTATAAATTTCTAGTGCCATTGTTCTTGAATTGTGTTCATGATCATAAAAAACATTAAACCCACGTACTCTTCAGGCTTATCAAATGGTCATTTCTCCTCACAAAAGTTATAATTTAAAAAACAGGTGTTGAGAGTCAAAATGAAGATTTTATCAAGAGACCGAGCATTGTTTGAGTCGAAAGAAAACTTTCAGAATTAAGATCTCAATAAATAAATGGCAGACAGCAATGAACCTTACATCAAAATCTCATGAATGAGAGGTTTAAAATCTAACAATTCATTTCGCAAAATTACAAGGGCAAATACATGTGGATCTGTGGTCCAGGAAAGCGTAAAAAAGTTTTCTTACCTCAGAAAAAATAAAACCCGAGAAAATGAAAAAAAATCAAAGTCTCTCTAAAATTTTTTTGTGATTCCGCAATGTTTATTATGTTTTCTTTTCCGCAAAGCTAGCAATTTGCCTCAGAACATTCTTTGCCATATTATTTGCTCAAGTAATGATTCCAATAAGAGACGTTGAACGAAATAAAAGCAAGAGGAAAGAGAAGGCGCGAGATACGATCGATTATATCACCAACCGACAGCCTCGCTCGTTTGTTCTTGCAACTCATCATTCCTCTCTGACTTGTCCTATCAGTCATCTCAATGTCATCTTTTTTCTCTGGAAGGAATGAGTCGACGTTGTTTCGTGAACTGACTATCGCCAGTTCACCGGTGTTCGAAAGCATCTCCACGTTCACAAAGCCATCACTCTTTAGGAGCTTCTCTATATAAAAACTGTCTTCAGTACGAGCTCTCTGCAAAAAAGAGAACACTTCTATTATGATCAAAGAACACACCAGGCAATTACGAAAAATTTTCAGCCGATTTACTCGAAAGTTTACTCGATTACCGACCTGAAATGTTGAAATCGCTCTCAGTACTGTATCTCCAGACTGGACAGACTAAGTGGGTGTCAAATTGGTGATGGCTTTAACGGCTATCGCTTAAAATTTGGCTATATAACGGCTAACGTTTTATTTCTTTTCAATAAGTTTTAAAGGAAAGTTTTTCCTGCTAACTTCTTTCAACGAATGAATGTTAAAATTTGCCAATTTTTACGTCTGAAAGACCCCTGCTCAACATTTCTCATCCTGGTCTTACGCGGGACGTTTGTTGCATTTGGATGGAAGCCGCTGTCATCGTGCTCAGCTTCGAGTCAAATGGTCTGCGATAGAACCCTCGCCGGGAATTGCCGGAGTAGTGTTCCTCTTGGAAAAGCAGTTAGGACAGTTCAATCTTAGCAGTGTATCTCTCCACCCAGGAAAAAAAATGGATACCAGCGAACTGTGAAGGATACACGAGGAAATGCTGGAAGGGAGGGGGAGATTGGGGGTGTAAGGGTGGGGTGGGGACGGATAACCCTGTAGCAGGCTATTATCCCATAAGGGAGGAAAATAAATACCGTTTATCTTTTTATAGTGACAAAGCCGAGATAAGCTATTGTCGGTTGGGACTTCTGCATGGCTCGTAAGCTGACTTGTTCTCGCAAGAGCAGGAGCACCCTCCCACCAGGTGGTCGATCAGAAAGTTATCCAAACTGGCAAGTCCGTGGAAAATTAATTTAACAGTTTGCTTTATTATTCCAACTCCGAATCATTCCCTTACCTCTCTCTTGCCCTCCTCTAGGTCCAAACTCCTGTCCCGACCGCTCTCCTCCCGTGATCGCTTTCGTTGACGGACAACGTACACGATGATGCATTCAAACAGGACAAGAAACACGAACACAAAGGAGACAATCAGGTACCAGTCTATAGCTTTGGCATAGCTCACTCGAGGTAGAGACATATTCACCGAGCCCAACAGAAACATTATGGTCAAAAGCGTGGTGATTCCCAATCCTACTCGACCACCCATGTCGTCTTGGCCCAACCAAAAGACGATCCAACTAATTGTGACTATCAGTGTATCCGGGATGTAGACCTGATTAACGTAATAACCGATACGACGTTCAAAGTGGAAGTAGACTAGAAGTTGGGTATAGTTACCTGTGGATGTAAGGTTTGGTTATGTAAGACTTACATGTCACATTGACCCGATAAAAGGAATTTGGCGAACGAGCGGCCCTTTTTGCAATACCAAGTCGAGTCTTCCAACGTATCGCAATATAAGCCCACAACAAAGGAAAACTCTGCTGAAAGGCTATTTATAATGGTAATGGGACTAAGAGGAGTCCAATTCCGTCTGTAATCATACAAGTGATTAACAAAATCGGACGACCGCGAAGCGGTAGTCTTAAATTGGAAAAATCGTGAGTATGATTACTGACAGAATTGGACGACACGAAGTCCTGTTATCAATTAATGAAAACTATGACAAAATTTGAGAAAGAAACTAGACATCGGTTGTACGTCTTCATAAAAAAAAAAACTGTTGACTCGGCGAAATGCGGAACAACAGCGCGCGCACATGAAACGCTCTGTTCACCTACACATGTATGACGTGTTAACTGTCCCTTTAACTGTCCTATACACAGTCCAAGTACAAGCATGACGCGTACACTGTCCTATTAGTGCTCAAATTGGGTTGGTGATAACCAATCACGTTCGAGAATTTTATTATGGTTTTGATCAGTATTTTCATTGCTTTTGTTTTATAACACCATGGGTACCCTTCATTATTCCAAGGAAAGCATTTAAGGGGACTTGTCTGCATAACGATTGAATTGCTAAGGTTAGGTCAAGTAGCTATCATAGAGGGAAAAAGGGACAATCACACTGAAAAAATCATTATTCTTTGTGATATGAAAACGGAAATTCAAGATGGACAAATCGCACTTATGCCTCATAAAAGAACACAGTTCTACATTCAACTCTTCAGCTTACTTTTTTCATTGAGAAGACAAGAAACACAGATAGCTTATGCAAGAAAAAGGCATAGCTCGATCAACAAATTTCATACCTTTTAAAGAAAGGAGGGCATCAACTTTTCGAACGAAATTTCATGAGGAACTTTGTCAGATTTTAAACATGCAAGATACTTTAGATAACCAACCTGAGATATAAATCATAACGCTTCTGTTTAAGTAGGCTTCTGTCATGTCAAACTGCGCGATGTTCTTTTTCTCTACTACGACCTTCTCTCGCCTCCACTTGTAATTGACATCTGCCAAGCTGTGTCCATCTAAACGAAATCAATTTACTTGTTTAGTATCAGAGCTTTCTCCTTCCACCTTTGATACTTCTCGCAAGTTAACATCTTAACACTTTAATTCCCAAGACGGAATTTCTCCTTACAAAATATATATCTTATAAGACGATATGGTGTTTAGAACCTCTGAGTGTTTTTAACAGTTGTACCGTATTTTTTACAACCCCGTTATACAAGTAAAAAGAACAAACAACGAGCAAAAATTCTCAGTTATCTACTATCCAACTGCTAGTATTTAAGAGATTATGTCCAATCACAGTATTTTTGAGGGTTTTTTCTTAATTACGATCATGACTGTTTTTCGAGAATAACTCTTAGCCGAGAGAGGGAAGCAAACTGTCATTTCCTTCAGTCTAAACAAATTAAAAGGAAAGATACCATTATCTTCCAAAAAAGTCATGCAATTAGACACTTACAACTTCCCAAAGATAGGCCACACTTTTGTGTGTCCATTGGAAAATCCTTCAAGTCCATAGCACAAGAGGCCACAATTTTCACCCTAAATTTAAAAACACGAAACTCAAATGAGACCTTGAACAAAGGGAAAAGTAATTGAGAGAAAAGAAAGGAGCATTTGAAATTAGAGATCTTGGATAAAGAGGAAGCAAGAATGGAACGACACAGGAGAAAAGAAAAGGAGCATTTAAAATTAGAGACTTTGAACAAAAGGAAAGTAAGAATGGAACTTCACAGGAGAACAGAAACAGGAGCATTTAAAATTAGAGACTTTGAACAAAAGGAAAGTAAGAATGGAACTTCACAGGAGAAAAGAAACAGGAGCATTTGAAATTAGGGACCTTGGATAAAGGGGAAGCAAGAATGGAACGACATAGGAGCACAGAAACAGGAGCTCTTGAAATTAGAGACCTTGGATAAAGGGGAAGCAAGAATGGAACGACACAGGAGAACAGAAACAGGAGCATTTGAAATTAGAGACCTTGGATAAAGGGGAAGTAAGAATAGATCGACACAGGAAAACAGAGAAAGAAGCATTTGCATTTTAAGAGACATTGAACAAAAGGAAAGGAAAGTGGGAAAGAAACAGGAGAAAAGAGAAAGGAACATTTGAAATTAGAGGGGTAAAGAGCCGCCTGAGGGGTAAATCTCGAAATAATTGACAGGACTTCCCCTCCCCCATTCAATTTTGCCTGTATGTAGCTAAAAAAATCAATGGCATCACAATACAACATTGTTTTTTTTTGGGGGGGGAGGGAACGAATAGGTTACCCCAACAAGGGCAAAAGAGATCAAATTGAAGTAATAGGAGGTTGAAAAGGTCAATGGGTTCAACAATTTGGTCACTGACCTTAGGGTTAGATGCTTAGCCGAATCCGCTGGTTACAATCCTGATTCAGGAGATCTGGAGACGAGGGGAGTGCGGAATCACCCCCTAATAGCCATTTCTCCAGCCCAGTTAGGAGCGCCGATTTTAGGGTTAGATGCTTCACTGTATCCGTCGGTTACGACCGTGATTTAAGAGTTCTGGGGGCGTGGGGAGTGCAGAATCACCCCTTAATCGCCATCACTCCCACCCACTCAGGAGCCGTTATCCCTTTCATGGTCTTAGCTAAGGTTTAAATAGGTCTGTTAAACTGTAAGAGCATTAAACAATGAGAACCAGCAGATTAGGTTTTTGAATGACGGCGAGCTCGGCCTAGTGGACTAGTGATCAATGAAGATGAACTCTCCTCACCTTATAAGGACTCAGGTCTAAGACCAACCTCAGTCAATGAGCGTAAACTGCCAGTTTACGCTCATTGGGTCTCTGCTTAACAAGGCTTTCGGAAAGCCTTGTTAAGCAGAGATCCTGTCTAGTTCTTTCAACCAGGAAAAACTCATGTGATATTTCTTAGATGACTCGTTTATATCCCTTAACTCACCCCTTCGAGTAGAACATTGAGCCATCGGTATAAATAAATAAAGTACTTTCTGCCTCAGAGTCTTTTTGTCTCAGATTGGACTGTCTTGAATTGCTAATATATGTGTCAGGCATCCACGCATGCTCAATGGTCGATCCCTTCAGCTGAATAACCTCCTTGGATTTATTTGCAAAACGCTTGTCTGTCCAGTAGTGACGGAGGTAACCAAATAAGGTGTACTCCTTGAAAAAAAAATTAAAAACCGATCATTCAGTTTCGTATTCAGATGCCTTTATTTAGGACCTTTTTTTACAGCTGGACACTCCATTCATTTTGAAAAATGAAACGAAACGTCTTCTGATCCTTGGTCTTCATTCTGGACGCACCCTTAAGTTGCAAAATCGTGTTTCTATTGCAAATTTGCGCACAGACTGTATGTGTGTTGAAAGCCCAAATGTAATTAAGTCCTAAATGTAATAAGCCTCACTTAAACATCTCAATGTGGATGTCCACTGTAACAACAATGCACTGGCGGAGTTAAACAATTGCATTGGAGGCTTATTACATTTTGGACTAATTGTTATCACATTAAAAACTTCATTACATTTTGTGCCAAATATTATTTCATTTAGGACTTTATTACATTCAGGACAGTTATTACATTTAGGACTTTAACATACGTGCAACAAAGACCGGCCGCAACGTCTTAGGAAAATGATTGATTCCCTACCATATTAGCTTCTGCAATATTTGCGAATGACTCGACGTACAAGTCCACCTCCACATCCAGTGGCTTGACTAAAAGAAGACAAAAAGCAGAAAAAGAGACAAAATACAAATAAAACGAACAAAAAGACAAAGAAGAACGTCGACAGCAACAAAACAAGGACAGCAACAACAAGAAGATCAGCAATAAACAACAAAAAACAAAAACATCACTCAACAAACAACACACAACAATTACAACAACAAGAATGAGAGCAAGAACAAAAAGTAGGAAAATAGCAACACAAAAACAACAATTGCAACAACAAGAATGAGAGCAAGAACAAAAGCAAGAAGGACAACGGTGAAACAAACACAACGATTAAAAAAAACAAAAACTAAAAGGATAAGAGAGAGAAGAACACTAAAAAGAAAAAGTAGAAGAACAAGAACAAGAAAAATAGCAACAATGCCAACAGCAACTAGGAGATCAAGTGGAACAACAATGAGGAAAAGAAGAAGATGAAGAAAAACAGCAACAAAAAAACAAAAACAAAAGGATAAGAAAGAGAAGAACACTAAGAAGAAGAAGTAGAAGAACAAGAAAAATAACAACAATGCCAAAAGCCACTAGGAGATCAAATGGAACAACAACAAGAACAAGAAGAATAAGTACCTCCGTGGTCGGGTCTCACGTCCTTGTCATAATTTATGAACAGCAAGTCCCGTATCGTCTGATTAGCAACTCTTTGCGAAGACCTGTCAGAAAATCGACATGAGACGCGTTTTCTTGGCAGAAGAAGGATAAAAATTCGGGAAACTCATGGGGCTAGCCGATGTGTTTTTATAACCCATGATGCACTTTTCCAAGGGTTAATGACTCTATTCATCCTTTACAAACAAAACATAACAATTTTCATTCGGGAGTTTGTCTTCATCGGCAGCCGAGAAATAAATAAATTTTCATTATTTTTTCTGCCATCAAATACTTTTTGTTTTTCTCAGTTTAAAAGATCCTATCGACGTTCAATGGAGAGGATCTCAATTTTAATTTCATAAGCAGTCTTAACTATTATTGGAAAACACTCCAACTTCTTTCCTTTAAAATGAAGCCATTATTCTCCATATTAACTTCGGCAGAACCTGCTGGAAAGCTATTTTTTCATTCTGCCTACATGCAAATTGCGTGCTTTTGTGTAAGAATAACGGACACACCACGATGTAAAGGCCATCGTAACCGTTTTACACCGAGGCAATCGAAAACTCACCAGGATATGCTAATAATTACGACGAATACTTATAGAGGAGATTTATCATTATCTCACAATGTAAATATCTATGAAAATAAATTATCTTTTGAGCTATAAAACTTCCTAGAAGAGACGAGTTTGACCTTGATATCTCCAAATGATTTTAAAAACACACCTTTTTTCCAAAACTCATATTTTAATTGATGCAAGGATCTTTTTAAACAATGCTTTTAAAAAGTTTAATCACATACAACTATCTCAGCTAGATTCGTAACTCTAAAGCAAATATTCCGGGCGCGGGAATATTCAACTCCATTTCAAGATAGAAATAAAAAGTGGTATTAATTTCCTTATCGTCGATGTGTTTTTCGAAATGCAAATGTTATTTCCAAAACAAAGCCATTTCAAAATTGGTCTTCCATGCACTGTGCATGTGTATGTCTATCGTGTTCAAATTTTGTTTCACTGAATTGAATATAACAATTGAAACATCATTTTAATAATTTCCCCGCTGCAATTTTTTGGATGAGATATTTCTCTATAAGATTAAAATATATTTTTAAACGCAATGCTCCTTTCTCAACAGAATACGACAACCTTTCAGGCAACATGCAAAAATGATCTTGTTGTTGTTATGTTCGGTGTAATATTCGTGAATTATTTATGGCGATCAAGTGGATCTTGCTAAGCTTTCAAGACCAAATTAAGACAGTTTTTTTAATATCGAAAAGAAAGAATACATTTGTCACGGAATGATAGAAAAAAAGAGACATCAGAAAAGTAAAATAAAGCAGAAAACCTTTTCCGCTCAGACACAGCATCAGTGGGTTTTATAAACACCGTTTATCTTCTAGGTTTTTTATCATACCAAGTTTAATTGAATTATGCAAAGTGTAGACAATACTGCATGAAAAGTAAGCTGTTGAAAACTCTTCATTTCGAAATACATTTTGCTATTTCAGAATGGTTACTTGCCACGCAACTGATTCGAAAAATATAATATTAATTCTGTTTTTGAACCGCACAAATCTGGCAATAACCTCTAGAAACGTTTAAGCAATGTTTTTTTTAAAGGTAAAAAATGTTCAATTGTCTCTGCAAGTGCGATATGACAGCGTCGCAATAAAAGACACTCCTCGTAAGTGGTTTGCGCAAGAAAGAGGCGAGAGCTGAATTGTTTCGCTTTTTACATTGAGTGCTTTTTCGGTTCTTATTGAAACTAAAATAAAGCATTCACGTTAAACCATATTTCTCGAGGGAGCTCCAAAACTAAACATCCGTACTTGAGAACAGTGATTGGCGATCATAGCTATCATGCAAAAAATTCAACCGCGACAAACAATAGCGAAAGTTAGGAAATCAAACTAAATCTTTTGACGAACGAACTCAATCCCAAAAGATGTGTCAAAATTTTACAAAAAAATTAGCCAGAATTACGTGAAAATATATCGGTTATTGAAAAAGTTATACCTAAAAGATCCAAAAAATATGGTTACATTAAATTAAATGTCGGGTAAATGCAACACCAATTTGGTTATTGATCGGTTTTGAATGAGGTAAGCCTAAATTTAAAAAAAAAAAAAAAAAAAAAAGGGGTTGTAATTGTTTTGAACGTCAAGCACTTTGAATAATTCTTTACTCAGGCTCCAAAAGTTTTTTTTTTTTTACCTCAGTAATTTGAATTGGTTAGTTGAAAAACTTAACATATTTTACTTACCCGAACGGGTGAAATATGGTCGTAAAGACGATAAAAGTGAAGAATTTTGAAGAATTCGTGAGAGACATGGCGTTTTAATCCAACTGCGTCTTTCTTAAATAAACGATGATCTGTAATCGAGTGCCTCTGGGTAGGAAAACTATCACCTGCGACAATGTCTCCTTGGCTACCCTAAGAAGAAACAACCAGAAAAAAGGTGAAAAAATAATGACTATATGTTTCTTTTTCTGTACCATTTCTAGCCTTGACGGTTGAATTTAGTTCAGAGTTGATTTTATTATCTTAATCCTGAAAAAGTTTTTAAGATCTGTTCGCTTGGGCATATTTTTGCGTCTTTCTGATGAGAGCGTGGTTACGCTATTCGCTTGGTATGCAAGAGGTATGAATTTTGTCTTATGTTCAAATGGGTAAATTATAACTAGGCCGGTTGAAATCTCAGGAAGATTCCTACTTGAACGAAAAAATCAACTCGACTATTCAAACGAAAAGGGCGTTTGTATCTGCAGACGTCTGGCTAAGGGCTAAGGTGTTTAAAGCGAAGCTAAGATAACCCAGGGTTTGTTTGAAATCTGACCTCACGTATGAAAGCTTTAAAAGAATATTCATTATAATTACATAACTTATCTACAATTTGGTACTTGGATGCTTTAGAAAGAATAGAAGAAATTATCCGAAAAGGCTTTTGAAAAAAGAAATAAAGAAACCCAGATTAAATCTGGGTTAGTGCTAATCGGCCTTCGAACAACTGGGGTCTGCAGTTGTCAATAAGGACCTTAAGCACACCTTGACGGCGAGGGCAACGAGGACGTTGGAAAAAAAAAAAAAGATCTAATGGCAGAACAATAGCCAGCACGTGCGTTTTAAAAATGTTTATATTTCTAAGCCGTCTTTTGCAAAACAAAGACGTGAAATCACCAAAATTTGTGTCGTCTGGAAACAGAAAGCGCAACGGCAAATATTTAAATTTTCCATTTTCAACGTTGTACTGAAGTTGAGGTGTGACACCGTAAGAGATTTAGACAGTAAACACACGCAGCTATTTTCAAAATTCTAACTAAAAATTAGAAATTCATTTCTTAATCGACGTCTTTCTTAGCGTTGCTGTGCTTACTGCTCATGGTCCCTATCATCTCAACAGTGTTGACGGCAATTGGGTGAGCATATGTTTCCTTACGATCACATTGATACATATTTCTGAGAAAGAGTGATGAGACGAGATTTCGGAACCCAAGTCAGTTATTTACAGAAGGAGTCTAACTTACCAAGTGTAAACTACTTACCCCAAAAAACGTGCATAAAAAGGTTCTATTTACTCTTAGACTGTCGCTCGACTTAAATGTGATGAACAAGCGTTGAAAACTCGACCTTTGGAGTATAGCGAACAGTTTGCGGAAGTCGAACTCCCTCACTTTCGGAGTTAAGAAGTTATCTGCTGAAACTTTTTTCTTCACTTTCACGTATATACAAAAAAATCGCGCGCGCTCAACTAATTAAGATACATATGCTCACGTCTACGCCTACTCATTTACATCCACGACGCAAATAAGTGAGTTCCCTTTTATGACATATATTAGCACAGAGCCTATGTAATAACTTTGATATTCTGAAGGGTATAAATCAAAAACATCACACACATAGTATGAAATATTGCATAAGTTTGAGCTTAATGAAGCATAAACAAGGTTTGTGGTAAGCCTATTCCGCAAATGTTTCTGGATAATTCATCTATGCGTCACTCTTAGTTGAAGCAATTTAAGTATTGAGACGAGCAAATTAAATTTATCTCGAATAGCTCACACTATCACATGAAATAAAGGCAGGGGGGAAAATTAATGGAATGTGATTTAAATTATTCCATAGTCTTTTAACGCTCTAGCAAAATCTATACGGGGCTAAATTGGAAGCAACATCCAATCCAATACCTTTACTAGATGATGTTAAAACTCCTTTTTTTCCATTTTCCTTTTTATTGTTTTTTTTTGAAAAGGCGATGCACTGACGATTTCTGATGTTGACTACGAGTTCCATGCACTATTATTTTCTTTGCTTCTTGCCCTAGTGCTGCTAAAGGAAACTTGAACGCAAAAATATCTCCAAACAATCTCACTAGTTCAATTAATTATTTAAGCTTGCAAATTACAATCCGCGAGAAAAGAGTTACCGACAAGAAATTATCAACCCTCTTGAGTCGTAGTAATTGGCCTGATTTGTAATTATACTTCAATTCAGACTTTCACATCAATCATCGACTTTGACCTGCAACACCAGAAATTATGTTTCAAAAGAATCCTCTGAGTCACGTGAAAGAGCGACTAAACGCTTTTCGTAATTCTTTCTTATCAACTCATTTAACAGTCTTATGTTTTGGTTTTCCTAATTCCTTATTTAAATTGCGATTCAGTTGAGAAAATTCAATTTTCAACCATTGATTCCATTCAAAGATTTTCTGCTCATTCACCGAAAAAAAAAAAAAATAATAATAATAAAAAAAAGTTGCCCCGGGCAATAAACTGTCTTGGGGGCGAAAAGTTGTCGTTCACCTGTTTTTATTTTCTTCACCGAAAATTGAATGAACGTCAAATCGCTTTAAAAGCCAAAGACGAGAACCAACCGCTTCCAAGAGCTCTATTCAGTTACATACTATGAAAGTTGGTAAGGGTGGCAGCTGTTTGTTTAGACGGTCGGTCACTGGTTTCTGCTTTTTTTAGCTTCTAATCTAAAGACGGGGGAGGAAGGTGGAGTCGTTAAGTAATAAGTGTTGCATTAGTACGGAAAATTTCTACCTTTGCGATAAATCTATGGACATATTGTTAAAGCCTTCAAAAATCGTTCATCGGCGTATGCACGTTACAATTTTATGGCTGAAAACTTTAGAAAATATACTTCAGGAAAAACAGATCTTAAAACAGATAGGAACATAAATTCGTGCAGAGAACTCCAAAATCCGCTTAACGTTTTTCAATAATTTAGACACATGAACTAATTACCAGCAAATGTCTCAGTATTGCGTAATAGAAGTGGAATTGAAAACAACCATAGCAAAAGTGGTCAAGATAGCTTGCTTGACTTATGGCACTCAAGGTTTCTTACTTCTGATGATGGACAACATCCCGTCAGGAAAAGGTGTCTTTCAGTCACTGTATGTAACCTAAAGGAGTTCGAGACCATCCTCAAAGGCATATCATAAGGCCAAGCGTTTGTAAAATACAATCACGCACAACGGCAACTCGATGTCGATAGCAATTCCGCCCAATTTTCTTTTAATTTCGAGGTTTTTTTTTTTAATCCAAAAGCATAAATTACAAAACAGTTGAGACCTTATCTTTTTCGCTCGAAATGGAAGTCTTTATATTCCGTCTAAGGACCCAACATTTGAGATTACAAATCAGGGAATACCAAGAGCTTTGCGCTTGCAATGCTAGTGTATACGTAGCCAGTAGCGTTACGAAATGGCGATCTTTAGCCTAATCGCTGTGTCTGATTTAGAGGTTTAGCGGACGGAGAGAGTTGTGTTCGGTGAAGCACAAAGACTCTCTCCCCTCTTCCCTTCTGTCTTCTTTCGCCTAAAATGGAGACATTTGTAAGCCAATTAATTTTCTTTCCAGCCTTTCTTCGCCTAAAAAAATCTAAGATCATGTCTAGGCGTTATACGGAGATAAAAAGGACTCGCGGCCGCATTGCACTCTACTCGCTATGTGTTATGAATACCTACACCTTACGGTTATTCTGAGAGCTTGTTTACCTATTTAGGCAAGTATTTTTCATTAATAATTTACGTTTACAATAACATTTAGAGAATACATAATAAACTCATATTATAATTCATCTTTCCAGCTGAGCAATTGAACTCACGATTTCTAACCGTTAAACATAACCAGGCCACAGTTAAACATTCGACTGACGCAAATTAAAAGACCAAGTACGTGGTAATGCTAATGCTGAATTGAAATGCACTCTGCAAACCTTTCAAACTACAGTTAATAAGCTTTGCATACAAATAATGAGTGTAAATTGCTATATTAATTTACAGCAAACAAGTTTGCGATAAGTATTTTTTACGACATTGCGAATCTCGTGCAATCGCCAGCAGTAAAGGAAAGGATTAACTGCTGAGTTAATGAACACAATCGTTGAAGTTAGAGACGTAGCAAGAAAAGAATTCATTGAATAAAACGAAGAAACCAAATAAATAACAAAATATGGACAATAACAGATGATAAGAACGAGAAATACTATAAAAGAGTTCATTGCAGATCTTTTCAGCCCCGCCACGTGTGAATTGGTGATGAATTTGTTATTGGTTTCCACCGCTTGCAGCTGGATTTGAATCACATGTTGGTGATGGCGAACCTTTCCGTATATTATCAGGTTGGAAATAGTAGAGACAAATATACAAATGCTTATCACAGTTCCCATTGCTATCAAAAGGAATCTTTTCGCCCAAACTTCGGAGCTTGCTAGGAGAACACAAACTGCCCAAATCGTCCCAAGTGTGCATGCCACACGAGAATTTGTAACAATACTCGGATACTGAAGAGGCTTCTGTAAGGCAATGAGCCTGTCCACACTAATAGCTGTAACCGTACAAAGAGATATACCACATACACAAAAGCCAAATACATTGTAAACATCCCAAAAGATATCTTTGAGTACCTGGGACTCAGAATACAAGGTTATGAAATCCTTTGCGACAAAGAGAGGTTGCACGATCGCACCAACACTGAGATCGGAAAATGCTAGACAACATAGTAACAATATCGAAGGTGAACGAAGGCTTGGTGTTTTCCATATTCCATGCAACACCAGCGTGTTCCCGGCTATTGATGTTAGGGCGAGAAGAATGTTCACCGCACAATTTACCACCAAAATATTATGCATGATGGAATTAGTCAAGTTTCTTTACCCTTTGGATCCCAGTTTTGGGACAAGTAGACCTACTGACATTTTTGACGAAGCAGTTGTTAGGAAACAAATAATCGTTGTGGGGAAGGTATCGACTCATTTAGAATCTCTAAATAAGTGATGATCGTAAAGGCGGTTCAATAACAAACTAATTAAAAATTAATAAGCAGGGGCATCTTTTTTGCGTAGAGCACCGAAAAAAAAAAAACAGCAATAACAACAAAAAAACCATCGTGCGTTCAAGAGGGCCAAGAATTAAGAATGAGCAGGACGAACATTAGACAAAGTGTAGCAATCGCATTTTCAGAAGTTGCAGAAAATTGCCCGAGTCACACAGCAGCGACGAGGAAATTTCTGCAATTTCTGAAAACAAAAGTGATATTAATCCTTTATTTCGAGTGCAAAATGCGCTTACTTATTCATGATATAAAGGGAGTTAGAGTCACTGGACTTTCAAACGCACGAATCAGCCGAGTGGAAATGTATTTTTGTAACACTACAATGTAACCAGCACTGCTAAAAATCATTTGCCATCAATGAAATTTTCATACTTACTCGTTTTCAATTTTAATTTACAAATTCAAATGCTCGGGAAAATTACCACAATTAAGGGAAACTGTCCTGTCTCAGTAGCCAATCAGCATCTAGTAATTTTCCTCTCTTTGTTATAAGAAACATATTATTTGATCCTTGTTTGGGAGTTTCGAGTTAGATAATTCACCTGTAATTGTCGTCAAGAAAAAACGAAGCATCATTACAGGTGATGGTCTTTGCATTAATAAGTTCCAACAGAAGCTCGTGATCTTGAAGCGGGGTTTATTAGGTGGCTAAACAGTAACATCACACAGGTGAAATTCTAGCCCAAATACGGAGTTAGAGTTTTGAGTTGTGTTTGCCTTCATAAAAACTTCACAGCCGATTACGTAGAGGCAGTGAAAACCCTTCACTAATGAAAGATTAATCCATAAGTCATGGTAATCGATTTCTCTGAAGGGAGACTAGGGTAACATTCATGAAAAAAAATTGGTTCAATTTCCAACTTAAATGCAGTGGCGGTCCATGAAAGCGGAACGCAAACGAATCGAGAGGTTTGCTTTAAGGGTGTTGAATGGAAAAGATTTACACAAGTAGACAGTCTGAACTGTCGACAAAATAAGCTTCTAAGTTTTCTCCGTTGCTCGTTCTTTCAACAATATCTCAATGTATAGTGCATACAGTAAACTCTCGGTTCAAGGACACCTTGCTATTTTAAAGAACCCGATAATACGGATAGCAGCTAATTTCCATAACAAACTCGTTAAATGCGGAGTCCTAATATTAAGGACACTATCTTGCAGTTTCAAGGTCGTCTGCATAGATGGAGTTGATAATTGTACTGGTCAACTCTGAAAGGGATCTGTTGATAGAAGTTTCTTAGTCTTGATCAAAATCAACCCCATAGTCGAGTCTGGTTACTTCTGCAGGAAGCACAAGGCCTGGTCCCGCATCGTTGCTCTTGTTGTGAGAGTAAATATAGGCGAGTATGACCAGGTGCCACTGAATTAAAGTCTTTAAACGACCCCATAGTCGAGTCTGGTTACTTCTGCATGAAGCACAAGACCTGCATTGTTGCTCTTGTTGTGAGAGTAAATATAGGAGAGTATGACCAGGTGTACCCTGTTACCCCGTTACCATGAAGATCGATTTGCTATCTCTCATTTAAACAACTAAAACTTTTTCCTCAAGTTTCCTATCCTCGGTAACAAGAAAAAAAAGCCAGCAATTTTTCATGGTGGGATGGCTGCAATCCATACCTGTATTGGATCTCTCTCCTCTATACCAGGTATGGCTGAGGATGGTGATATTTGGCTCTCAGCGGCTCCTGCAACAAGCCAAGGGTTGGCTAGACTCCTTTGAAATTTCTGAAGTTCGTGTGGACCCCCTATTTCAATCCTTGCAATCGCTATTAAGCGCTTCATTTCTCACACCAAATCACCTCCAAAGCTTTGAATAGGGGGAATTCTGGAGATTGCCCATAGGGCTGTACTCATGTTGATTTTTGTTTCAGTTAAAACACAATAACAAAAGTGCAAAAATCAAAGTTTAGGACGAGTCTGTCTCACAGCCTCTCGAATTTCACGCAGTCGCCAACAATAAAGAAATGGATTTACCACAGAGTTCACGAACACAATTGTTGAGGTGAGCCCTCTTGCTAGGAAGCCATTGATCGTAGATTGCGAATATATGGCGTAAACAACAAAATATGGAAAATAGCAGATAAAAAGTACAAGAAATACTATAAAAGAATTGAGCGCTGATTTTTTAAACTTCAACATGTTGTCCAAACTGCCATCCGTATTCTTTCCCACCGCTAGAACCTGAATCTGAATCGTGCGTTGATGGTAACGAACCGTTTTGTAAATCAACAGATGAGAAGTGGTGGAAACTCCGAGACAAATCAAAGTTACGATTCCAATTGCGCTCACTCGAATGTATAAGCTACTTAACTGCAAGGCTGGCAAAAGAACACACATTATCCAAATCGTTACAAGAACGCGTTTCGCCCGAGGGATCGTGACCAGACGAGGATACTCAAGGGCCTTCTCAATGGCGATCAGTCTGTCTAGGCTTATAACAGCTACTGTGCAGAGAGAGATTCCACATAACGTGTAGCCAAACGTGTTGTAGACACTCGAAAAGACGTCCTTAACATTTTGGGATTGTGAGTACACTCGAAGCAAATTGTTGACGATAAAAAGTGGTTGTGCTACTATGCCAACTGCTAGATCAGAGAGTGCCAAACCACACAGTAAGATAATAGAGGGCGAGCGAAGAGTTGGTGTTTTCCATACTCCATATAACACCAATGTGTTCCCAAAAAATGATGTTAAAGCCAAAGGAATATTCACCACACAGTTGATCACCAAAACATTATGTATGGCATTAGTTATATTTTGTCCGTCTATGGATTGTAAGCTATTTGAAAGGGAACTGTTAATGGATGTTTCTGACATGCCCCAAGCGATCGTTTGGTAAGAAAAAAACGAGTTACCTTCCACGGCAGTTCTGCAGTAATTCTTTTCGCGGTAAATCTACGACTACGACGTGTTGACCAGCACGCCAAGAGTCTCGATATATCTTATTTGTATAGTTGAATCACGTTTTGCCGCTACAAATGCAAACGTCACCGAGATGTCGTAATAATAGAGAACTTACATCTAAACATGTCAACACAGATAACATTAAGTGAGAGCAAGTCCACCTCTCTGAGAAAGGGTACTTATACTTGCGTTATACAAAGGGCATTTATATGTCAATTGTGAAAGGTTGAATGATGAGAATGGTCTATTTCCAAGCTAAATTAGCATTCGAGGTGAAACATGTGAAGCAAACACTTGCTATAACGTCGCACATATATTTAATATATATTTTTTCTTTCTTCGAAGTTTCCCCTGAACCATAACATCAAAAATTTAAAAAATCTATATATTTTTTTTCGAAGGTGCGATACTAATAAAATAAAAGCATGGATTAGGCTGTGAAACGTTTAATCATCCGTCCAGCTGCCGAAATGAAAAAAAAAAAAAGAGAAAACACAATTTAGTTTTACTTGATGGCGCTAAGCATGCGTATTTTCCCATTATGTCCCCTTTCATGCGCAACTAAGTCCTAGGGCGTATATTTTCTTATTAAAAGGAGTTGAATTATTTTTTCCAAGCGCAAATTAATTCTGTTACATTCACGGATAGCATAAGACTTTAAGAAACAGACGTAATAATATCATCCTTGTGTGTCAAATTATACGTCAAACGTTTCGCCCGAAATATGATTTTAATTCATAAACCATAAAATAAAACGCAAGTTTTGGCCGGAATTTTGCATCTACAAATTATCTTGCTCTACAACTTTCGCGTCGAAGAATAAAGTTCCGCTGGATCGCTTTGCTTCTGGTGAACTTACAACTTACTTGAGTGTTGAATACCCGTTTATTTGTTTGTGTGTATTTGTTCTTGGCAACAAGGAATACAACCCAATTCAAGATCTGCATCAAGACGTGTCATCATTATTCTCGAAAATTAGAAGCACAGTTTGTAATTTTTATTAGCGATACTTCATCGGGTGGGAAAATCAAAACATTGCAATGCTAGCTGCTTGACCCTGTCTTTTAACATGCAGTTGTGTCCTCTCAAAATGATACCCCATTCATACCAGCAAAATGTGTTTAGCTAAACCGGGTTTTATTGGATGAAAATCAGAAACAGAGAACTAAAAAGTGAGTTTTCCATGTGGTTCAAGAAGTCACTAGCTTTTACTTTCGATGTGGTAAATTTGACGTCGACCAACATCGGTTTAAACAGCTTCTGTAAGAAGCAAACAATTTTTAATTGTTTTAAACAAAACAGCTTTAAAATATATTTAAGCTTTGGCGTGAATTGGGTATTCGAATAGGAAAATCTTATCCCGGATGAATTTTTAACCACTTAAAGAGGCCGACTCTTTATTTGAATATGAAAATGTCCATTACCTAAAGCCGTGTGAGAAAGTTAGAAATCTCATAAGGAATTAACGCTTTTAAGCGGAACTGTTTCTTTTACGGAAAAAGAAAAGAACAGGTGACGTTTTTAGTGACGGCAATGATTGCTCTTTCTCCCGTTGAATCTAATTGTTTTTAGGTTTCATTACGCGCAACCCAATCGAAAATATTAAACGAACATCCGCGATCCACTTCGCAGAAGTGTAAGTGGGAGAAGGACGGACTGGAAAAAAATACTTTTAAAGGTTTCGCACGTGTTTTCAGTTCTGTCCAACATTTCTTCCTTTCTTAAATTAAGCCTTTCTGTATAACAAACAATCAAAGATATGACTCGAAGATATAAACCACTTCGCAGAAGTGTGCTTAGAAACGACGAGAAAAATCATTCAAGGAGGTTTCTGAAACAGGTGTTTTTACGAAAGTGTGCCATGAGTTACTCCTTACTTCAAGTTAAAAGAAAATTTACATTTCTTATGTTTAATTTCAACAATCGACATTCACAGGTAGCAGTTTTTAAAAGATATTTCGCGGTTTATATTTATTTTTATTTTTTTTAAGTCCTTCTTTAAGGTTTTTAGCGTGTTTTCGTGGTGCTGCATGACAAACAAGACTGAACATTATTGACGCCACTTCACATTAGCTGATCAATCATAGTTTCCGCTATTCATTTGTTCCGTTAATAACCTTGTAAGCTCTAAGTGCTTAATCTGTTCATCTCAAATTGGTCAACAGTTTCCGTTGACTATTTAAGGACCTTCACATAATAAGCCGAGTCCGAGCACGTATGAAATTTGAATCAATTTCTAAAAGACAACTTACGAAAATGTGATATTTTCTGCCAAGCTCCATGGCGCTTTTCTGGAGCAAAATATGCCGAAAAGAGTGCACAGTTTTTGTTTCATAGACGCAATAGAGCTCGACTTGAGACTGCATCTTTCTCACTGTCTCTTATCCACTTCACCTCTTTCACCAAGAATAATAGCCTTATAATGTTGACGGCTATTGCGTTTCGCCCGACAAAATAACACAGGTGATGTCGAGCCCATTGCTTCACTATTGAAAAATATCGTACTCAAATTCATACTCACCTCGAAATCTGAAGGTCTCTAAATATGTTTCATTAAACCAAGTTGAACTGAATAAAAATCAGGAATAGAATACTGAAAAACTGAATTCTGCATGAGATTCCAGGATTGATTAATTTTTATTTCCGCTGAGCTAAATCTGAAGTCGAAAAACATTAGTTGAAGCAACTTAAATGAAGAAGAGAATTCCAAACCGTGTTTGACAAACCAGCTTTCAAACGGGTTTTAAAGCTGTTCGTATTTAGCCCCATAACGCCGGCATCATAAACTTGAAAGTAAATATAGCCAAACAAGATTCACAAGTGACTCGATATTTCTCTTTCTCTGGGCCTGCTCAGCTTACGCTAAAGGAAACACACGTGACATTCATCGGTAAATATTGTCGTGGCATGTCAAATTTCCAAGGAAAATGTTCAAGACACTCCATATTTCGTAGCCAAATTATTGACATAATCATCCGTCAATTTCCAGTCCTCCTTGTTTTGTTTTATGCTTTGTAAAAGGTCGCAGATAACTGCAATAGAACACATACACAACGCATGAAATAACCTCAACTAATGATTATTTCGAATATTTTTTTTCCTCCCAATTACTTTTAAAAGGAGACGGTTAGATTAAGATGCAATCCCTTTAATATTTTGTCACAAACGTCAGGGGGATAAACTGCACATTCTCTTTGCCCGTGTCGCTTCACAAGTGACACACAGTTGTCATGGGAAACATATAATTGCAAAGAACACTTGAAAAATACTTGACTAAGAAAATGGAGTGACTGGATTAGAATATCTCTTCATGTCAAATCATCATTCTCGGCAAGTCCCCAAGTGAAGTATTGTCAAGTTAAGTAAAATAATTAAAAACTTCAAGATCAATCTTCTGCAATAGATAATTTGTCAAGTACAAGAAGGAAGAGCAGAATTTTCCATAAACTAAGAATTCTGCTACTTAATTTTCATTTTAAATACTGCGGTACGGTTTTATTTAATATCGATAATGTTCAGTGAGGTATAAGGAGTCTTATCATTGTATGAATCAATGTAATGTTGACTCTGTAAATAACACGTACAGTGTAGGTAAGCGTACTGTTGATAGTACAAGAGAAAACGTAATTTAAGTCTTAACAATGTCCTTGACATGTCTCCTGTGTTGTCAGGTTTAACTCTTTCACTGCCAATAACTCAATTTAATCTCTTTATCAATTGTGAAACATTAATTTCCCGTACATCTAGCCCTGATAATTCGGTGTTGAATCCAACTGTATCCTTTTAGCCGATATTTTTCTTTCCTTTTACTACTCTGCTTGAAATTATATGGATATGTTGAAAAGAATTTCCTTATTGGTCACTTCCGGAAGAGAAAGAGTTGGGACGTAGCTCTGACCATAGATTGACATACGTCACCGACCGCCCCAAAAAATTGTAACCAAGCAATTAACGAGTTTGCAATGTCACCCTCCATTAACAAAACCTAACAGCTGGCCAGCAAAAAAGGCTCGTCTAAAAACAAACTTTATTGCGCAAGAATTGCATGTTAGAAAATCCAAATTTACACGACTGAACATGCGAGTCCACAAGACCGATATTACAAAATAATATATTTTTAAGCAAACATTTACTAAAAAAAGTCAATTCTTTACTGACCTTCGGCTTTGAGCTAGTTTTCGAATTTATCGCAACTTGTGATCCAAGTTCTCCACAAATTTTTCGTTAGAGAACACTTAAACAAGCAACACGTCTGTGTTCTGGATAGAAAAAAAATGTCCTTTTGTCGTGCAGGATTGGGTATGGCTAAAACAAATAGGCTTGTGGACGGAAAAAACTTGGGCAACTGACAGAAAAAATTGTGTCATCGTTGGGGATTCCTTTTCAAACGTGTCGTTTCATTCACGGTCGTTTTCGTTTCTTCTTCACATGATACACGATCAAAAATGAACGAGGTTCAAGCGTCGTCCAAGGAACATTCGTTTATGTTTTTTTGTTCTTTTCTTTCTCTTTTGTTTATTTTCACAGCGTCTTTATCTACGTATCAAGTATGAATTTGACACAATAAATGGTTTTAACCCAGGAGTGAGGTTTGATTGTGTAGTCTGATCATAAGCTTCATACATCAGGTATGTCTGGGAGGCTGGGCTTCCGCACAGACTAGTTCTTCACGCTACCGTCAAGCACTTCACTTATAATTCTAGCGCTACGTCTTTTTTGTTACTTTTGGGATTGATGAGATTATCCTCAAAAAGGTCATGCGTCATTTTGTTCATCATCAGCTGTTTCTAATGGAAGGTTATCAGAATCTCTTTCGAATGATTTTTTGCATATGGTTTTCCACATGAGTCATACCATGCAGCCCAATCTGCCAATGTTAAGTATTCAAGGCTTAAAGGGCGTTTTTGCATATCTTTGCAAAAGACCATTGGTATTACATCTTCACAATCATCATCCATTTCTTCAATGTCATTTATTGATTTTAAAAGCTGAACTCTTTCATTAGGAGAGTGGTATTTATGAATATTACTTGACGAGAGACTTCTTCATTGGAAGCTGTAAAACATTGTAAACAGCTTCTTGTGCATATGTCGATGTTTAAAATTTGTTTCCAATGTCTCGGACTTGTTTTATGCTAGAATTTCCTTTTTGGCTTCAGCACATGCTTTTTTATGTTCTTTTAATGCACATGCACATCAAGTACAAACTGGATATCCAGATAACTGGATGATTATTTTCCAAGTGTCTTTGTGCTGTTTTATTTTATTTTGTGGCATGTCTGCTTCTAAAGGGTAAGAAATTTCAGTTGCTCTCATGGGGAGGTTGTGGATAGTTAAATCGACATTCATTCTTTGACTTTTTTGTGACAATGCCTGTGAATTTGCCTGTTCACTGGTTTATGTAATTCTGTATTATCAACTGCACTGACAACTAATTATTTTATCAATTAACGGCAGCATCGTCGTTGATCAAATACTGGTGCATCTTCAAGCCATATAAGCATGTGTATGTGGGGTGAGCCGCTGCTGGTATTCTACTCGGTAAAACCAGTCAGAAAAATTGTGTTTTTGGCATGTCAACTTTCTTCGTCAATTTTCAAGCTCACTGGTAGTGTAGTTTGTGTCCATTGTGTTTCAAGAAGAAAAACTACAGAATATAGAAGTTAATCAGTAATAGCCTATGTCGATGTTTTGAAGATAGCTTTGAACATCGAAAAAAAACAACACCATTTTGGGCTCTTACTCGGTGTAGAAGACACAGTTGACGTAAAACAATAGGGAACAAAACGGCAAAAGAACGAGTAAAACAATGACAACAATAGGTTGATGTGATACGGCTTTAAAAAGCAGTCACCTGCACCACCCACATCTAAAGCTATCAATCCTAACTGTCCTAATCGAAAGTTAAGCAATGTTGAGGAATCCACTGACAAATTGGTCTGATTGTTCACATTCTGTTCGGGACCTGGATTTAATTCAACGTCACCTGATCTCAAAAGATTCATCCTTGATACGCAATATGTTTTAGCCGGGCAAGTTGATTTTTTAATTTTACCTGAACAACAGCTACTAGTTTGCTTTCTTTTTTTTGACTTTTTTGTTGCCAGTCTTTTAAAATTGACTAAGGAAGTAATAAAAGCGTTATATTTTTGTAAATACCGTATATACCACAATTTATAGTGAGTAACCAAGTCATACAATCTTGAAGATTTAGGGGTACATTTCTTAAAAATAAACTTAAGCTTGCTTCTAGCTTTTCTCTTTTTCATATAATTTAGGACCTTTTTCACAGGTATTCTAGATGGCTCTCGGTCTCTATGTCGTTTTACTTGTTTAACGAACTTGGAATTTTTCCGAGGGGAATGTTTGTGGAATTCTTTCGATGGCGGTACATCAACAATGGAAGCTCCCACAACAAATCTTACATCTGTTTTTAAAGATCTGTTAGAAACTATCCTTAGATAACAAATATCATGAATTGTACTTCTACACTTCCCTTGTAGGTTAAAAATTGCAATAGCTTTCGCAAATGTCTGGCCAGTGAAAGGTATTTTCACTTTAGGGGCGATTTCATTTCCCAAACAGCGGGTTAAACAGGGCATATTTCCCTCAGTGGGCTTTATAATCCCCAAAAGGCTCAATAATTCCGTAATGGGCTTTTCTCTCCCCAAATGGGGCTCATTTATTCCCCGAAGGGACTTTTCTTTTCCCCAAATGGGTCTCATAAAAGCTTATTTTGTGTCCAAGGCACTCGCAATATCGCCGAGTGGTGATGCTGTTGGCGCCAGGAAAGCTTCCATCGATCTACAACTTCAAAGCATCTTATGCTTTGAACATCGAAAAAAAACAACACCATTTTGGGCTCTTACTCGGTGTAGAAGACACAGTTGACGTAAAACAATAGGGAACAAAATGGCAAAAGAACGAGTAAAACAATGACAACAATAGGTTAATGAGGCGGTGTTCTATTGTGACATTTCTTGTGCCTTCTACACCAAGAAGGAGCCCCTTTTTGGTTCTCTGGAATCACTCGAAGCGAAATTGTACTTGTAGGACCCAACGTTTAAAAGATAAGACAAGGCATTCTTGCTCTACGAATTAGTAGCACCGATATTCCAAGTTCAAGCAAGTTATGTTTAAAATGGATTTCGAGCTACCGTTTATCCCTTTATGAGAAACAGCCTCATGCAGCTCTCCATGCAAATAGCATGATGTTGCTTAACTAGTACGAGCGGTCGCTTAGGTTCACTCACCTGTCTTATCTTTGTCCGACAGAAACATCACAGCCATGCTGAACCTTTTCACTTCAGAAAGGTATTTCAATTCTTTGAACACCGGTAGGCCATTTCTAAAAAAAATGAACAGTGTAACATTAAAAAAAGTTGAACGTTTAGCATTAATGGAAAAAATAGATCCAAATCGTCTTCAAGCGCTTATCATCAAATCAACTTTGAACAATCAAGAAGAACATCTAAGAAAAACACAATTCATCCGATACACGTGTGCACAATACATGCCTTTTTACTGATTCTAAATTGCGCGTATTTTTTTTATGAACGCAATTGCGTGGAGTTCTTTGTAAATTTCACTTTGCATGCGTGCAATACGCCAGAATTGTAGGCGCTTGAAACGCGTGAAGTGCAATAGCGCACGTGGGCGGTACTGTGAATGCCACAAGACTCTTGTAATCATAAATTGGAAACCTGCGCACGATCGTAGTGGTATAACCTTACGTAAAACCCCTTCCCAACTTTACTTGTACATAAGAGTTCGCATCAACTGATCAAAAACTCAACTTACGAGAGATAGAAATCGCGTAAGAGGTTCGTTATCTTAACCAGCATGTCTGACTCTAGAGACTGTTGGAACAACTTTGGGTAAGATTCTGGGTTGATTTTCTGAAAGAAAAAAAAAAAAGCTTACTTAGATTCGTTCCATCTTAGCTGTCAGTTTTTTTCAAAAGAGTTATCAAATCAGAAATGCAAGTGCATTCACTGTTAATCGTGTGCTGTAGTTGGAGTGTGCAAAGGAAACATAATAAACGAACACACACAACAAAAGCAACAAAAACAAGCAAAGGGAAGGCCAAGGAGGCTGACAGAATATATACCACAAATATCACCCTTAATAATGGGACGCTTCTTTTCTCTTCAATCTAGATAGCCGCACACTCTTGAAGCGTATGATGTAGGGTTGTAAAACGTATTCTTCCGGCTCTCAGCTGTTCAACAGAGTCCTCACACGTTTATTTAGCGCAATTTAGAGCTATTGGCTACACTTGTCGTACCATTTTTGTGCTATTCATCCAGTGTCGTTCATTTTTGTGAGCAACAATCACATAGCAATATAACATTCAATTGACAATAGCTAATACGAGCTGTAATTATGTTTACTTAATAGTCTCACCCTGAAATACTGAAATAGTTTATCAGGTTCTTTATGCAGTGCTCTCCAATCTGCTTGAAATTGTGCAGAAGACTTTGGTACTGCAAATGCCCTCGGGGAAGATTGTGCGCGAGCAGTGGACGCAGTAGACGGAGGCTGAGTGGATAATGGCGATGATGATGATGATGACAAAGGAGAATTTTTACTGGAATTGTCTTTTAATTCTACTTTTAAAACGTTAGCTTGAACAGAGTCATGTACAGGCCCAGCTGAATTAGAATTGTTCCTTGTCTCGGCAGTCGGCAAAGAGGCTGTTATTTGAGCTCTGGTTGAAACTTTGGCCGTACTCTCTTCATGGTCACTGTCACTTTCTGTTCCAATCTCTTCGATGACAATCCTTTTAAGGGGTTTCTGAGGAGAAAACAGACACTTGTTGTATGATAGGAGATGAGCTATTTCGAAACTGCAGTGATTCTCTGATACGATTCCTTAACAAGACAGTACTGCCAGTGCCTGTGGAACTGACAGATTTTTTTCTTATCCTTTTTCAATCCTAAACTCGCGAAAACCCGACTCTTTTAACCTTTTAACCCCTAAGAGTGACAAGCATCTAATTTCTCCTTATAACATCACCTCTGATTCACATATTAAGGCCACGGGAATAAAGCAAATGATCATCAAGTAAAGGATCTCATAATTGTCAAACAAATTCTCCTTGTCAGCACCTTAGGAAATGTATACAGAACAGTATAGAGAATATGCAAACTGATGTTAGGGTGAAAAGGGTTAACTAGGAATTTTATCCCTGTCTGATATACCAATACATTGAAAAAGTGCCCCTTGTCAGCAGAGGAAAAAAGAGTCGTGACCTTCTTCCAGTCAAAGACGTTTCTAGGAAGTTTCTAGTTTTCATAACTTTAGAAGGCAAGGTAACCTACTCAGTTCCCACAAACGTTCTATTGAGCATTTCTATATAAGAAATAATAAGGTTGCCTGGCACTAATAATTGATGATATAAAGGACAAGTTCTTGGAGACTGAGAAAAAGAACATTAAACTCCATAGCTCACTCGTTTTACTGCAAGAGTCTGAAAACTGCTTACTTAACAACAACTTACAGCTATCTCCTCCATTACATCAATTTGTATATGGTATTGAAGTTTCATTGCATGCTGATCTTTAATGTAATCAGTCATTATACAATTGACTTGACAAAATCATATTGAAGAGGTCAAGGTTTTCTGAGCTTTTCTTAGGTTCTTTCTCACCTTGGATTTTGTGGGCAACTTTTTATCCTCCTCATTTTTTGGTGACTTTTCTTCAACTTTTGTTTGCTTTCTCTTTTCATTCAACAGCTGAATTAAAAAAAAACCTTAAAGTAAATAAAGATTTTGAAAAAAAAGTACTGTGGTACAATTGGTACATGCAGTTGGGATAAAATAACACAGTTGCTACCTACATGTATGTAGGGTTCCTACCCTTTTTCAGAAACAAATTTCAACGGCTTTTCAGGACTTTTTCAGGACCCAAATTGATTTTTTCCATGACTACAAAATTTCACCTTAAACCCTTTCATTTCCAATATTTCAAACTCATTCTCCTTACAGTCTACATACATTTCTTATATAAAAAATTCTGAAAACTTAAGTGCTTGATTGATGATTTTAGATATATGAAATTCATATATTTGCACTGCAGTGAAGAGATGAAATTAAGAGATCCTCGCTGCTAAGAACACTACTGAAATGAGTAGTTGAAAATAGGACCTGAAAAAACTTCAGGCCATTTATCTGCCATGTAGCTGTGAGGATCTCTTACAGCTGATTTCCAGACCTGACTGGGACCTGTAGTCTTTTTCCAGGACTTTCCAAAATAAAAATTCAGGACTCTCCAGGTTTTCCAGGACCCTTACGAAACCCCGTGTATGCCATCCTATGCATATCAGGGAATCTGAAAATTATATTACCAAGAGCACATTACCTTAGCTATGTTTTTCAATTCCTCTTGAGCCTGCTTGTTGCTTGGCTCCAGTCTCAGTACATCTTTATAGTCAGCCTCGGCTTCTTTCACCCTTCCAAGCTGAAAGTGTGCTGCTCCTCTTCTCAGATAAGCCTTAGTGTATGAAGCATCCAGGGACAAGGCTTGGCTACAGTCTGCCTCGGCAGCCCCATATCTGTAAATAAATTATAATAAATAAGATTCAGAGTTTGATAAGAAGAACACCATTTGTAAATGTATGCTCTCAAGGATATGGGTGGGGTTTTAAAAATATTTTTGGTTTTTGCCTGTTTACTTTTAATTCTTAAATCTGATTTTCAACATTATGACCATCATTATCATCATCATGATTATCACTGTCACTGTCTCAGTCAATGTCAAGGTAAATTCATCATTACCAGTTCTGGTGTCATTGATATAATTATCATTATCATCATAATTTCTCTAGTCACTGCCTTATGTACAGTGACCTTACAGTTCATCTGTTCATATCACTTTAAAAGAAGTTGTCTTTTGAGAGAAAAGACCAACCTTTTTAATTTTAGAAGACACATTGCCCGGTTGGCTGGGAGTACAGCATTTGCTGGGTCAAACTGAATTCCAGTTGTGTAGCAGTTAATGGCTGCTTCATATTTACCCTCCTTAAAAAGTGCATTTCCCTGTAGATGCGCATGTAAACTAAAAGTTCAGTAAAATCAAGAAATAAAGTTTGATATGATTCTACCTGTTAATCCTTAGGTAAGTTAGTATGCTATTGGGAGGGGAAATGACTGTGAATACAAAACAACACATTCAGTTGAAACAATTCAATTCTCGTAGAGGGTATAACAAGGGCCACAAGATAATTATTTTATTATTCAAAACTTAGGTTTCTAATTTTTGTTTCTCCTTCTAGATTCTAAATCATATAACCATTGTATGTATCCATTTTTATTATTTTCTTTTAGTTTTTTTATTTGTAATTTCTGGTGGGGAAACCTTCCAAAAGGTATCAAGAATAAAGATTTTCTTAATATTGTAATCAAGATGAGACAACTAACACTACTGGTAACACAAAGGATAATATCCAAGGCACAAAAGTATCAAACGTTTTAACTTCCTTTCCTTGATACATAGCCTGTTGACCTCATCACCAAACTGACAAAAAGTCATCCAAATGTTCCAATCTACATACTGAGTATCCATGTGATTAAATACATATGGCTTGACAATTCAGAAATCTTTGACATTGTCATTTTTGATTTACCAGGCATTTTGGTATTCTCTAATACAAGGACTCAGTGGCTCAGTTTACTTTCCTTCAACCCTTTGACTCCCACAAGTGATTAACATGAAACTTCTCCCTATAATATCCATACATTATCCAGCAAACAGGTGGTGAGAATAATCAAACCTATCAGGTAGAATTTGTTATTCTCATCTAACATCAAATTCTCGTAACTAATTCACAAGGAAATTTGTGACAGCTAGAGGGGAGAATTAACAATCAGATCTTAGGAATTAAAGGTTTAAGAGTATATATGGCTTCACTTTAAATGACCATGTTATTAGCAGACATAATCAAATCTTACCTTGTCCTTTTCAAGAAGTGCCTTCTGCAATCTTTGCTCATTTTCCAGATCTTCATCAGTCTCTTCACTCTCTTCTTCAGAACTGGAAAATGTCTTCATTTCATCTGCTTCATCCATGTCTTTTAACACTTTATCCTGATGGAGCCATTGAATATTAATTGGGTACATTAAATAAAAAATAAATACATGTTCACATTCATCTTAACCCTTTCACTCCCAAGATCTGATCGTTAATTCTCCCTTCCAGCTCCTACACATTTCCTTGTAACTTAGATGTGAGAATATGGTGTAAGATCACAACTTCTACCTGATAAGTTTAAGTATTCTCATAACCTGTTTGCTAGATAATCTATGGATATTATTGGGAGAAAGTACATGCTGATCACTTTTGGGAGTTAAAGGGTTAAGACAACTAATAATTGTCATTTGACACATAATTTATGAAACCAAAACAAAAAGAACTCTTGCACACACACTCAATGGCAAGTAATACACTGTTACCAAAACCAACTGCTGACAATTTTAAATTAATACTTACAACATCAAATTTATCCCATGATCTGTAGTCATAGGAGCTTATTCTTGTTCCAACGTCTGGTTTTTCTCTGTCAGAATCTCTCTTTTTCTTCTTCTTTCGCTTGGCTTGATTCCTTACAGGAGGAAGGTTCTGCAGCACACAGTGTAAAAATTAATGGTAAATAGAAACCCATATGTTTGCATACACTGTGCATGGATTCCAAATTATTGTGCAAAGTAAATGGTATGAATAATTGATCATCACTATATTCTTAAAGTTAAGGGCAAACACGGATTTGTAACATCCTCTCGGGTTGTCAAAACATCTCTCACTGTCAATGTTCCTCCAAAGATGATCACACTTCACAACCAACTATGTGGTCATGTTAGGTAAAATTGTTCAACCATCAACTCCCAGAAGTGATTAACAAGTAACTTCTCCCTATAATATTCATACATTATCCAGCAAACAGGTAGTGAGAATGCTCAAACTTATCACATGTAAGTTTTTATCTCGATCTAATACCAAATTCTTGTAACTAAGTTACAAGTAAATGTGTAGAAGAGAGAGGGGAGACTTAACAGTCAGATCTTGGGAGTACAGTTTTTGAGGTTGATATGCACTGTACACGGTTTTATTTTGACTCTGACTACCTGATTAAAATAACGACAACAAAAACAACAACGACAAAAACAACAACGACAAAAATTCAGGATGGAGGCACTTGTGAGAAGCTTTATACCATATAGAGCAAGGGTTACTTAGGTAAACAAATGAAAGAGCGAGTTGAAGTCATCTTATGAGGAGAGGCAGGGATGTGACATGCAGGTTGTAGAGCGTTGAATATTAATTATATAAAAAAATGTATGCATATTTCTATGGTTTTAGGGATGTAGAGTTTCTAATCCTTCGTTACGAAGATGTTGGTAGCCATTCTGATACAACGATAATAGTGTATTTAAGTCTGCATTAAAAGAGATTTTCTAACCGAAGCTTCCTACACAAACCTTTTTCGTTATTGTCTTTGAATTTCGAAGATCTTCATCTTTGATTTTCATTTCATTCTGCCAACTGTTCAACTCCTTCAGCATGTCTTGCAATTCTTCAGCATTTTGGCGAATACTCATTTGCACTTTCAATCCTTCATCCGCCATCTTGACAACTTTGTAACCTCGCTATTTTCTGAACAGACTTCACAAGGATACCCTTCTAGATTACGTAAACCGATCACTTCTCGAGGGAAAAGCCTTCTATTAAGAAATAGAGCGACTTAGGGTTGATTTTGTTCTTTATCTATTTTTTGCTCTATAATCATAAAATTTCCTTAATTTCAATTTCATTTGACCCCAAGGTTCGACCCTTACGAATTTTTATGCCTCTCCCTCCCCACCCTACTGCAAATGACCGATGATGTCCATGATTTTGGCGGGAAAACGCGGGAACGGAGTACAGCTATCTCTAATCACTCTTTCCACGCTTTTATTTAAGCCTTTTTTAGTCTCTTTTTTTATATATACTATTTTTGTCTGAGATTAAGATTATTGACCTTTTTTTAAGTCAAACGAAGCGTCTTAAATCAGGGTCATTTACCATGGTTTGAAGTTATGACGAAATGAGACGAATTACTCAGAGGGCGAACCTTCAGTTGCTGCGATATGAATTTTGTAAGCCGTTTTTCATGTAGCTTTAGATATTTTGTGCTATATCTTTTACTTCCCTCGTTTCCTACACGACAAAATCTACTAATGAACCGATTTTTAATGACATTTCAAATTAACAGAGGTACCATAAAAAAATTACAACCACAATAGCTTGAATTTCCACAAGAAGCGAAATCCTTTTAACCCAAGGTACTGAAATATAATACTACCTGTATAACTGTAAGTTTCATCAATGACCTGAATTTCCAGATCTCAGATCAGTCAATTTGTCGGTACATTAAATCCCCACTCCTGATGCCCAACAGATCTTTACATGATGACCACTACATGTGCGAGGAATATACTGTTACTTCGACACTATTGAAATATATGGTCAACGCACATATCAGGGAAGTGTGGGTGGGTGTGTGGGTAATTTCTCTATTTCATCAGTGCATCAGTTTAGCAACCAATAATCGAAGGCTATAATAATGCAAAAAAAAACAAAACAAAACAAAAATGATGATCCAAATATGTCTTCTATATCTTGGTTGGTTTACTGTTGCTGTTTTTCTATTCCTTATTTTTATCTTAGCTTGACAAATAAAAGTGAATACAAATTAAATGAGCTGTCTCTTTATTCTAAAAAAAAAATGAGTATACATGTAATACTCAGTTACTGTTAAATAAGCCTCTATTCCTCCATAAATCCCCTTCTCCCCCTCTCTTCTGCTGTTCAAATCTAAAGGCAGAGTTGATCAGACAAATAATTCAATAATGTAGAGATTTATAAATATCAAATGATGTTCAAATAATTGTTTTCATAATCAATTGCAAAAAAACATCATTTGAACTATTTCCAAATAGCAGATAATATTTAATATAATAAATATACCAAAAATTTATCAATTATTATATTAAACAAATCCTATATTCAATGATGGAAACTCATATAAGTCTGGAATAATCACAAATTTGGATGTAAAGGATCAATTTATATTTGAGTTAGGATGTTTTGCATTAAGCTACTGCAATATGAACAGCTCCAAATAAATATGGAGTTGAAGAAAACTCTAGTAAATATGTGAAAAACACAGTTGTTGATCCTTATGTGGGATCAATATCAGTATCTGGGCAACTGCCCACATACCCCTTCCTTAACCCAACATTAACCCTGACTTGTTATCAATTGACTGTTGTTGAGTTAGGGGAGGGGTAAGTTGGCAGTTGTCCAGATACTGATATTGATCTCTTATGTACATGCTTCCATTTTAGCTGTTCTACTAAGGATGAATTAAAAAGGAGGGAGTCAAAAATGAGATAAAAATTGTGGGTCAAAAATTGAAGTGAGAGCAGAACCTTGAGACCTTACTTCAATTAAGCAACACTGACTATTGCTACATTGTAAACAAAGACAGAAATTCTAGTTCCAAATGCACCTTGGGTGCATGCAACAAGTCACTTAGCTAGTGAATACAAAACAAACTAAGGTTACTTAAGTAGAATAGCAGTTTTTTTTTTTCATTTTTTGTTATGTTTATTTTTTTTTAGTTCTATCACCCTGGCGAGAAGAAATACTACAGGATAATGAATTTTAAGACCAAATTGGCGACCTACATGTATGGAACCGAAGCAGTCATTATGAATGGTTTTGTTTTGGGTTTAAAACTATTAGACGACTGATAGTACTGTGCTGATACTTAGCTCAGTTTTGTCTAATTAACAAGCAGACACTAATTCATGTGTCATTAACTCTGGAAGGGAGACAACTGTGCGGATACTAGGCTTACTACATCAGGGCGATTAATTAGAAATACCAAGGATACGAGTGCTTATGAACTACCTCAAAATCTTTGTTGGTAAATTTCTGTGAACAATCAAATGGAAACATCTATTTGTTAGTTGAAAAGTAACCTTTTATACGCGAGTATCCTCTTCAATTTCCTCTATCTCACTGATCAGTATATTACCACTTGATCCATCTCCATCTGAACCAAGTTTTTTTTCAATTTCTCAGCAGAAAGCTCCAGTCCAGCATCTCTGATGGCCTGAATCAATCTCGCAACCGTGCTACCCTCCTTCTCACCATATGCTGCTAGAAATTTATTGATATTTATTTCTTCGTCTCTTGCATTCCATCCCCTAGATTCCTCAAGCAAACCGGGGTCATTCAATTCATCCAAGACAGCACGCCAGTCAGCATACCCTTAAATACAAAGGATATATAATTTTCAAACAATCAAGCAACGAATTAAAAGGGTAAGTTTCTAAAATGCTGCGTCGGTAAGAGAGTAAAACAAGATACTTTTGGTTTTATCAACTGATTTGATAAATAAATGTAAATTGGCCACCGTAAAAGGTCTCACAGCTCTAACGAAACAGTGAAAAAAATAACCTCATCAATCAATCAAAGCTGGTTTACTCCAGGAACGGGGTCAAAGTCATAAACTCGATGGTATCGTTGTCAGAAGAATCATTGTTCCAATTGTTCCTTTTTCTTTCCATTTCACCTACGACCTCGACGCTTATGATCTAGTTCTCAGCAATTTATTTTCATTGATTGATTCTTCGGTTGCAGCTTATGACTTCGACAATCCAAGCAATATTTATCTCATAGTCATTTAAAACTGATCTGCTACGTGCTACCCAATGGAAATAACAGTCGAATTCCAATTCATTAAACACAACAAAGCTTCAATGTAATTTTCTCCGTTTACTAGCACGCTTGACAAGAGCATGAGGGTTTCAAACTTCAAAAGGTTAAAAAGTGCGCTCGCGAGGTTATAATGTCAGCGGTAAGTTCGCCCTGTCGCTAAGGCAACAAATCTCGTTAACATATCACGCAATTGCTGAATGATCTACGGATTGATTGATAAAAGGTGCCTGGGTAATCAGTCAGTCAATCCAATCATCCATCAATCTGCCGGTCTAATTAATCGATAGTCAATATATTCATCTTTTTTTCAATGCACTTCAAGCCAAGTCTCAAATAATTGTTTTTGTTAAGCTCAGATTTTTTTCGTGTTAGAGAAAATCGAATTAATGTCTTCTCTAGTTGAAAACAGTTAAGGGGAAGGATAGACATTTACTTACCTTGGCGTGAGTTACTGATTTCTCTGGATATCATTTTTTTGTCATCGATGGAGAGTTGTCTCAAGAAACGATCCAATCCTTAAGTAACAAAATAGTAATGTTTTATGATTTTTACGAAAAAATCATTTCTAGGGGAAGGAAGCAGCTTAGAAATGACTTGTAGGTGAAGATTTCGCTTCATAGTGCTCGCGATAATGGCTATGACATACTTTCTGTACTATTTCCTGATTCAATATTGTTGCTATTATTTTGATTTTCACTTGGAATATTATGTCGTAGCAGTTTTCAGAATTCACTTCATTGTGTTAACACCACGTATTTTAGATACAATACAAGAGATCAGTTGAACGGGGTACTTTGGCCCTTGAAAAGTATAGGCAACATATTGCTTTACACCTTTAAGAATTTTAAGTAATTTTACGAGATGAAAGTGATAGAGATATTAAGAACAGGAGAACACCTGGAAAACATCACTTTTTTAGTCTTAGGGCGAAACGACTAATCTGAGTTGGGGAGAATTTACTTATGGTCATATCTATGAAGCGACCTTAACTTTTAGCGAAGCGACCAATCCCAGGTCGAAATGTTACTAGGCTAAAAGCATCCTTAAACTGGAGTGCAGATACATGTATCTAATCAGCAGACTACGTGTTTGATATTACACTCTTACCTTTTCGCAAAAATGGCAGAAGGTCTTGATCATTAGCTTTTCGCCTTCTTGCTTTGCGCATTTTGCGACAGGCACAAATTAAAATGATTGTTACTACGATGATCACCATAACTCCCACAGGGATAAAAATCTTCAGGTATTTGCCCCGGGTTCCCTGTGCCCGAGACGACCTTTCAGCCATCGGCACCTCGTCCGTGTTGACCCTTTCGGTTTCAGTCTTCGGAACAACAGTATGCCGTTTCGTGCTCATCGATATCACCTCCATCGAGTTGATTGCTGAAATAAAAAGACAATGACGTATTCAGGTGTATTCTCGAGATGCGCGCCGATTGAGAGTCGTAAATCCAATTTTTTAACCTTTTTATACTAATCAATTGATGAGGTAATAAAAAGTTAGGATTAGCCGAGTTCAAAGCATTACCTAAGAGTCTCTAGGAATATGGTTATATGGTTCTACTTCTTTTTTAATTTACTATGATCTGCTTTTGTCTTCAAATTACACAAACTTCCACGCGTCAAGCTAGCCACAGGTTGATCGCATACAGCGGCGTGCGCCTGGTAGACATATGTGGCAAATTTTGTGAACTGGACCAAAAAGTTTCGGGAATATTTGATTCTCGCTCTTAGTGTTCCTAGTTAGAAGAAAAGTCGACATTACTTCAAAGCAAGATTACCACACGTACTTGAAGTTAAAGTTGTGGGACTTGACGAAGCTATTGGCACTGCATCTATACCTCTCGGTTTGCAAATGCGGTCATGCTCCGTCAGGCATTTTTGCACTTCTTCCTCGTCGGTGCGACAAGGAGACGAGCACTCCGCACAGCCATTGACCTCGCTGTAGTATCCATCCTCACATCCATTGCATTCGGGTGGGGAGGATACTGTACACTTTTTTATCAATTTGGGTTTTCCAGGAAGACAGTTTGAATAAGTGTCACACCTTACAAGAAAGGAAAGAAAACACACTTTTATTTTTTTTCTTCCCGAAGGAAGAGAAATAATTGTTCAAAATAAAACAAACAAGGTGCTAATATGTCAAATGAATGTTGTTAAGCTGATGGCAAAAAAACAAACATACAAACAAACAAAAAACCGGTGCGAATGCAGTTGCCTATTAACGTCTCCCTCTTTGGAAGTGGAAAAGCCGTGTACAGTATCTCTCATTCCAACTTGTATGGTCACGTTGTACGTGTCTCACGCCACTTGATAAATGTCTCAAAGAAAGGCTAGTCAATAGAATTATATTGAAGAGGTGAAGAGATTGATAATGCTAAATAAGGAAGTGAACAAATCCATAATACGTAAATGGATGAATAAATCGAGTAATAATGTACATGAAGAAATACGCGCTTCTAATCGGCTGAAAACGAGTGCATTCTCATGTAACACCAGTGCAAAGTTGTAACTTTACTTCTGAGATGTTTTTTCATGTTATTACCAATACGAATTTTTATCAATGTTAACAATAAAATGGATGATTAGGAATACAGAAAGTGTCTTACGGTCAAACAAAATGAGATCTTGGAAAATGGAAAATGGAAACTTACAATATACACTCGTCGAATCCATTGGTATCTGAATAATCATACCCTTCGATGCAGGGCTGGCATTGAATATCCTCTGTTTTCGAGCAAGGATTTTTTAAACCATATCCCACGGGGCATTGTGAGCATTTGGTACATCCTTTATCGTCATGGTAGTAGCCAGGTAGACAGTTATAGGCTGTGGGGCTCTGTGAGTTAAAGGAATGTTAGCCAGGGGAACCCTCTAGTCTAAGTTTGTGACATTTGAGCAATTTTTTGTTAATAATTTTTGTTTTTTTGCTGCAGTTGTTTTTTTTTTATTGTTGTTTTTTTTTTTTTTAAGTGTTTAAACTATCTCGATTTCTTTTGTGAGTAACAAACCTAACAACAAATAAAGGAAGAAAAAGGCGGAAAAGTTCTGCGTCGTTCTTTTCGGTGCCTCAGTATCTAAGCTTAATAAATTGACAAATAATCATGAAATAACAAAATAAATAAATAAATAAATAGACAGTTCATAGGTTATCAATCAGTCTAAAAAATATTAGGCACAGGGCCGAACACAATGCAACTTAGTGAAGACACAGTTTAAGGATTTGCTGCATCCAATCGAAAAGAATAAGCCTAAATACTAGAGCTGATCAATACAGTCTCTAAACCGTTCCTTTTCTGTCAAGAATTCTCGATCTTTGCTCTGTTCAGAAGAAAGAAAGCCGCGCGAAGAGATAGAGGCAACAGGTAGAAAGAAATTAAATCACGTCGCGTCCTGGCTGCGACCAATCCGCTAAACTGATACAATCTAGAGCTTCCAGAGAGTAATCTCTGGCGTAATGAGGAGATGAAGGCAAACCCGAGAGCCTCATAATTATTTGGCCACATAGGTGATTAAAGCTGTCCTTACTTGAGTCAAGACCCTTTTCTTTTCAAACAAGACGCCCCGAGGCGTTAACGTGGGATACGTTGGTCATAATCTACAGTCACTGAAGTTTAACTTTGAAAATAATGATATCAATGCTGATTGTTCAAAGTATAGGAATGAAATCGAAAAATAAAAACCCTAGAAAAAATTAAAGTCAATAACACGGGATATTATGTGCGGTCACCCAAGTATTAGAACCCCAGCGAATACAGGGCTTGACTTCAGCGAGAAGCACGTGGTCGTTTTTCACATCTGACTACCATGAATTCTTAATCATGATGTTATCTGACACAAGCATGTAAAAAGCATCTATTGCCGTATTTTTTCTCATTGAGCAACGGATACTATGCGAGGTCGAAGCATGTTTCATAACCTGCTGTCTTGATAAGATCTTGGGTGGTAAGTGGCATGCAGTTTTTAAAGGGAAACAAGTTTCCTTATAATCCTTCAGATACAACTCCATACTCGTGATCATGTTATATCCGCGATAATGACAAATCGACGCCTTTTCTTCCCATCTGAGAGGTCTGCCTGTCTCTCTTATTGTTGGAACCTGGTTATTCCCTGCCAGCCTATTTTTTTCGAGGAATGTGCTTACACAGCGGCGAATTCATCGTTGCGACCCAACGACGACGCTTTTTTCACGCCACTGAACATGTCGAAAACCTTGCTTAAAAAGCAAATCAACACTTTGTGGCACTTGACCCATAGTTTTTTCGATCATTATTATTATAAGCCGGCCATTTCTGTTATTCTTCACCTACTAAATGCCTATAGGAAACCTTGAGACAAAATAGTTGTCGCAACTTGATAAAGTAGTTGACTTCCTGTATTGCATCAGATTTTGCTAAGTTCGCAAAAAAAAAAAAATGCTGACACGCGCGACTTAACCCTTCTGGCAAGACCTGGGAAATGAGAACAGGGTAGAAAGTCTATTGGACCAGTCATGTTGCAAGTGAATATAAAGTTTTTCGCTTGGGATACAAATGTTTGCTAATTATCATTTAGTGGTCTAATTGAAAGGGTTCCATGTGTTAACTTGTACCGTCCACTGTTTAGGTTAACACATATCCGGCGCTTGCTCTTGTAAAAGCTTTTGTTTTGATAACCCACATCGAGGAGAGGTCAGACTAATTCAAGAGTGAACTTGATCAAAACTTACATCAAAGGGAACATATTTCCCTGTGTTGAAATATCTTTTTTTCTAACGAATGCAGTGGTCTAGCTCATTTATTTTTGGGTAATGGATATAGATAGATATCTTTGTTTAATTGAGATTCCAGTCAACAGAAATTAGTTTTGGCCATATTTACAAAAAGATCGGTTGAACAATTACGTCACCAACGGTGAGCGAGCAAAAGTTTACGAATATTAAACATATTTTTTTGGTTCTTCAAGTGACAACAATACATGATTTTCTACATGTCTTTTAAGTGGTCATTTCAGTTAAAATTTTACGAGAAGTTCGGTTAAATATTATTAAAAGATTAAGCGAGTTTTAATAGAGAAAGCTGTTTAAAAGATCTGTGGCAGCCTAGACACAAATATACGCGTGACTTAAAGCATTACTTTCGTGAGCTTAAAGGTATTGTGAGATGCAATTCCTAAAAAATGTAGACGCTAACCGTAACTTAGAAATCGGGCACCTTTGGGTTTGAAAAGTAAGGCTTTGCCGATAATAACCACAAAATTAACAAGACTTTTGCACATCATATTTGCTTCTAATTAATTCATTGCCAACGTGGCCATAGAGCCCCTGATGCGTGGTGTCATAGAGCCGCTGGTGCGTGATGTCATAGAGCCGCTGGTGCGTGATGTCATAGAGCCCCTGATGCGTGATGTCATAGAGCCCCTGATGCGTGACTCTATGCGTGACTCCTGATGCGTGTCTCTCGTAACTTTAACCCTTTAACTCCCATGAGTGACCAAGACAGAATTTCTCTTTACAATATCAATACAATATCAACCAGATAAGTGATGAGAATAAAGAAAAATATCAATATGGGGATAATTAGTTGATCCAATACTAAATTCTCTGAACTAACATCATAAGAATTGTATGGTTGACAGTAAGGAGAATTACAAGTTTGATCTGAGAGTTAAAGAGTTAAACTCCTGCGTGCTAGGGCCCGTAAATGATCATGGGAAAGAAATCACTTGTCAATCAAGAACAAATTCACCAGGCCACGGCGCCACCGGCTGAAAATGAGCAGTTCTTGCAAAACAAAGCAATGGCGGATTTTGAGAATGGCGTCTACCCTGCCACGTGACCGTTCAAATTAGACATGCATCACACATTTCTCAATTCGCAACCATGAAACGTTGTGTGAGATGATTATGTGACCAAGTATACGCTTTTTAAATACGATACCACAGAACATGATATTATAAACACCTAAAATAAAATACTGATTAATACATAAGATGCTGAGATGCCCACAGACCCATAGTTTCAATAAAACTGTGTCATGAAATTCCAGCCGATTGTTATGCAAACTAACATCTAGCGAAGGAAAAGACAAAATCAGTTTGAATGTTAGTTACTTACGGCAGCTGCTAAAGTCGAAAGGAGAGCGAAACACGTAATTTCTAACATCCTGCTTTTCTACGAGTTGAGACAATTTTTAAGTTTCAGAAAACACGACAAGTTGCTAGTGGGGCAATAGAGTGATGTTTTCAGCACACGAGATAAAACGAAAAAGAACGATTGTTTCGAGGGTCTTGATTCTATAGGTCCGGTATCGAGTTGCATGTTGGGATACGGGACTTTCCCTCAATATTCGCATCGGGCATATTGCGTGGGCATCAATAAGTATTCATTACCGATAGAGCGGCAA